CTCTCTCCTACTTACACAGCACTGCATGTGTTTGCTGCAGCTCTTCTCAGCAGCTGATCCCATGGGTACTTTGCTCCAAGTTCCAGAACAGATTTCTGCTCATCTACCTCAGCCATCTGGCCAGATGCCTACACAGCCTGCTCAAGTCTCTCTCCTGCCCCCTGCAGAGCAAGCGAAAACGGCACAGGTACGGTGGGATGTGCTTTCATGGTCCCTCATCTTGTGGCAGATGAGAAAATTAATGCAGCTGTGACCTCCCCAGTTGATCCTTTGGTTTGGAACAAGTGAGAAATTCTGTCTTCATAGTTTTACAAGTACAGATAAAAGCATTCAATAAGGATCACACAGGTTTTTAAGCAACAAAATAAGTTAATTATGAAAACATACCAAGTACAATTTGGCTAATATATTGTCAGCTCTTCATTAGATCTTTATTAAATTTAATGAGACTAAGTCCAGTCAATAGAGTTAATTCTGAGACTGGAAAGTTAGCCGCCTTTCCTTTTTGCTCACTTACACACATTAATACTTCTTTTTCAGGCTCTTATGTTTTCAGAATTACTCTGTTTAAGGTATTTGTCCATTTTGTGAGAGTTGACTTTGTGAAAGCTTGGTAGAATTTAATTAAGCGTGCACACAGTTATCATTGAATTGCAGTGTGGTGGCAGTGTCTGGGGACAACAGCTTCACTGTGGATCCCTGCACGCTGTGTAACTCTGGCTCCGTTTTGGAGACTCTGATGCTCTGTATTGTGGGAAAGACATGGAAGTTCTGCTGTTTCCTTTTGTACTTTAATATGTCATCATCTCCTGTTCAGTCTCTGGAGACCACTGCTCTGAGAACTTCCAGGTAGTCCTAGTGGGGAATTTGTTTGGCCCTTCCTTCCTCTAGCACAGGGGGAAAAATATAGGTGTCTTAGAAGAATGAACAGAAAGATTGGATTTATTTCATAGACAGTGTGTATGTCCTTCAGCAAGCAAAGGGTGGCTTTGCAGTTTTAGAAAGATTTACTCTAGCCACAAAAAACCCTGGCATTTGGTTGACTAGAGCCCTGGGAGACAGCTAGTTTAGGCCTTTCCTTGGGAATTAACGTTCTGATTGTATTGGACATGGCTGACAGCTGCCTTTTGTTGCTCCTTTGGAGTTGGTATCCTCCCCACAGCAGGGGACATCTTAGGGATTGGAAGGTCTTGGGCTGGAGAGAAAAGAAACTGCTGCCAAGAGTCTTTCACAGATGACCGTCAGTGACTTTATACTGTCAATGCATTTCAGGCTCAGTCCGCAGGAGACCGCTCCCAGGAGACCAAGGTCCCTATCAGTCTAGTGTTGAGATTAAGGTACGTGGGCACTTGCTGCTTTATGAGTACTCTGTAGATGTTGTCATAGTTGGGAGTAAGAGTAACTGCATAGGATTGTGTGTGTGTTTCTAACAGAGATATGTCATGTGTACTGGTAGACATTATGTTCTAATTTCTCTACCTTAACTAGAACTTCCAGGGAGCCTGGGTAGTTTCAAGTCTCAGCACATAGAATATTCAAGCTGTACCTTACCAGTCAGATGTGAGTTTCTGGAGTTATTATATTAACTGCTTCTAGTATGGTCCCCATTCCTTTTCCTGCCCTCTCTGCCTCTTCAAACCCTGGCCATCTTAAGTCCTATTTAAAAACTATCTTTGTGCTGAGCAAAGGTGACGCACGCCTTTAATCCCAGCACTTGGGAGGCAGGAGCAGGTGGATCTCTTTGAGTTCCAGGTCAGCCTGGTCTACAGAGGGAGATCCAGGATAGCCAGGACTGTTACACAGAGAAACCCTGTCCCCCCCCAAAACAAAGCAACAATGAAAAAACCAACTATTTTGGGGGGCTGAAAGAGATGGTTCAATGGTTAAGACCACTGGCTGCTTTTGCAGAGGTCCTGGGTTTGGTTCCTAGTACCAGATAAGGCTCACGACCATCTTTAACTCCAGGCCCAAGATATCTGACACCCTCTTCTGGGCTCTGAGGTCACCAGGAATGCACATGGTGGACAGCCATAGATACAGGCAAAACTCATCACATAAAAGACATAAATAAACAAAAACCTCTAAAGCTTTCTTCTCCATCCAAATCTCACGTGTTCTGGATTGTTAGAAATTTGAAGGAATAACGTGCACTTAGTTTTGTGAGTCTGTCCTAGTGACCAGTGGGAATAAGGATGAAAAGGGGCCTCTGTCATTTGAATCGCTCCTTCCTGTGTTCACACAGGTCTTTCTCTTAGGTTTATTTTACTATATGTCCTAGTTCATTTTTTGTTGCCAAAACAGAATTCCAAAGATTGAGTAATTTATAAATAATAGAGGTTTAGGCAAGTGTGACTCACGACTATAATCCCAGCCCTTGGGAAACTGAGGCAGGAGAATTGCTGAGAGTCTGAGTCAACCCTAGCTAGAGAGTAAGATCTTGTTTTAACAGCAACAACAAAATCCAGAGATTGATTTCTTCCAGTGGAGACCAGAAGCCCAGAGCTGTATGTAGATCTGCACCTACACCCGAGGAAGGCCTTCATGTTGCTTTATCCTGTGACAGAGAAGGCAAGAGCTCACAGGGAAAGAGGAGACATGGTTCACATAACAGACCCACTCGCTGAATTAGCCTGTAACCTCTCAGAGCTGCATTAGGAATCACCTTTCCAACACAGTAACTCTGATCATAGCATTATCTTAGTGGGAATCAGGGTGGGAACGGGCATGAGTATCCTCAGATAAAAGATTCTTGTCTTCATCAGTAAGCGGGGCAATAAACTCAAAGGTAATTTGATGACAGTGCTGAAAGTGTTTGCTCAGAGCCCTGTAGCGTGAGCACATCAGGACAGAATGTATGATCTGTGGGAACAGAATAATCTCTTCATATATGCATGTACATTCACATATAAACACATACATCCATACAGATATATGCATGCATATATAGATATACACTGCTAATCCCGCTGGTTGAGAATAAGACCACTACCACAGTTTAGAGTCAAGTTTTGAAGCAAGCTTTAATTAAATACTGGCCAGGTTGATGGACTCTCTGGTTTCTCAGAAAATGGCCCTCAGCCACGTTTTGCAGGGGCTTAAAAAGGCAAAACCCATAATTCACGTGCAAGTATACATCCTAACGTACTTCCTGCCGGCATACCTCCCACTTATATCCAGTTAGGGGCAAGGTTATATCCTGACATATTTCCAGCCCACGTACCTCCTGCCTACATGTGATTAAGCACATCCAGTGGAGATGGGTCAAACTTGTTTAGGGGAGTGAAAACACGTGGCTTGTTATCTCCCATAAACAATAGCCTCCAGCATTTCAGGAACTATCTGTCTTTGGACAAGGGGCCTGCAGATCAGAGACATTTTTTGTTTCATGGATCTCTTAGTCATAGTAATTAAAACTTAAAATGTAACTTTGACTCTCACAATACATACACACGCACACACACACACATATATATATAGGCAGACTATAATAAATTCTGCATAAATCCAGAAATTCTTATTTTCTTTATTCTGTTTTCTTTCATAGAAATTCCAAAAAAGAACTAAATGATATTCGATTTGAATTTACTCCTGGGAGAGGTGAGTATTAAAAAGTATGGTCAAAAAAAAAAAAAGGTTAGAAACACAATGTCTAATAACTTGCTACTTAGTTAGGTATAAAGTTTTTGTCATTTAGATAAAGTTTTGCTTTTAAACGATGGTAAACTTTCTGGTTTAGGTTTTGGAAAATATGTATGAAGAAAAACTATGGATTTACTAGTTCTTTCACTTGGAAACCTGACTGTAATAAGATGTATAGTAATGAACACAAGCCCATTAGTAAATGGTCATGCATTTCCCTAAACATTATTCCATTCAATTCTTAAAACAGCCACCCAAGGAAAAATGATTCCCATTTAATAGAGGATGAACTCCAGGGTTAAAGGAAGGCAGAAGAACTTGTTCATAAGCCAGAAAGAAGCTCAGTTCAGTTGACGTTCTTTCAGAGGCCAGAGTCCTCGTTCTCATCACTGCACACACTGCTTCTCTCTGATAGTAAACCAGAGACACGGTCCTGGCTTCCTTTCTCCTCGTGTGGAAGCTGACCCTTGTCACAGTGCTGCTTCTAATTGTGAACTTCACCCTGCAACAAGGCTTCTCTTTCTCGTCTTTGTTAACTCAGGCTTCTGAGTTGAGGAGTGGCCAGCAAATGTCTGTTGCTAGGTTCCAAGCTAATTTTACTTCTTTTAAGGAGAATGAATGCAAATATACAGAGGGGTACGCGTTACTTTTTAGGAATATTTCCAGGAATTTTAATTGCTAGTCTTTTGTACGAATGTGTACACACTACCTCTGCATTGGTTCTCTTGTTCCTTCAATACCTCATCAGTTAAAGATGAAATTGGTTGGTTTGTTTGCTTATTTGAGACAGGGCCTCATTGTGTGGTGTTGACTGGCCCTGAACTCATAGAGGTCTGCCTCCCTCTGCCTCCAGGGTGCTGTGATTAAAGGTTCATGACAGCACGCCCAGCCTAAAGATGACATTAGATTGAGATAGTTTGCTTCATCTTTGGTTTCCGGTTAGATCCATCACTTACATTGTATTGCCTAGCATGAGTAGGTAAGAAAACAAACTGCCAGAATAATGATAATAATTTTAGTAAACTTTTACGATTCTCAGAAAAGATTCTAAAGTATTTTCTTAAGTTTTGAGAATAAATTTCCATATCTCTGGCACTGAATTTCATGTCTCAAAACTCAGAGAGCTCAAGTGCAAAGTTATGTTTAACATAGGAATATCTCATTATCACTGTAGGGACTCTTGTGGTATGGTTGTGAACATTATATAGTTTGGAAACTTATCTCTTATTTCGAGTTGATATTTGCATTATAGTTCATATAGAGTCTGCTCCCTCGCCAGATCTATGAGAATTCTCACTTGAGAGTCTAGGACAACCCCCGCCTGCCTTCACTAAGCTAGCCGATTCTGGCAGTGTGGATACCTGTGCTGACCGGGAGAGCCACAGTGACATGTGCACACAAGAAATTGAGCGCCGTGTTCTTTGTCCTTGCAGATACAGCAGAGGGGGTCTCTCAGGAGCTCATTTCTGCTGGCCTGGTGGATGGAAGGGACTTAGTAATAGGTGAGCATGTCACTTTCTTGTCATCTGGTATACATGGTGCCTAGACACCCAGCTTCCAGTGAGCAGCTGTGTTGCTTCTTGAAGTGGTCTTGGCTTCACTCAAATTACAGTATCAAGACAGTTCTTACTACCAGAGCAAAACAGCAAAATCTGTCCTACCTCAGACCCTTGACAGTGGTAGATGTCTCTCGGACGATGTAGAAGAGATAGGAAAAGGCACAAGTTAGTAAGTTAATGGCTCTACCATTTCTAATCTGTTGGCATAGCTAATCTTTGTAGAACACAGAAGTGAGGAGGACAGAGACTGAATCCTAGAAAAACCAAAGTAAAGACAGGCTAATACAGTTGGGCTGACAATACTTTCCTCTGAAACACTAACTAATGGAGAGTTTAGGCTTTGTGGGCCTTGTATGGTCTGTCTTTTTTCATTGTTTTTTGGAGTACAGTGTCTTGCTTTGTAACCTGGGCAGACCTGGAACTTAGTACCCTTTTCCTGTCTCAGCCTCCACAGTACTAGAGTTATAGGTGTATATCTCACAGTTGGGTTTTGTAAAATGTCATTTGAAAATCCTTCTGTTTTACAGGTAGCACAAAAATAGATCACAGGCTATATACTTGGTTGGCTCCTAGTCACATGCATTCTAGTCTATTAACATAAGGCATATCTTTTAATAAACTGCCTAAAAAAGGGTAGCTAATACATTTTAAAGATTGTTAGTTTAACAATGATTCAGGATTTATTTATTCAGTCTGGAGATCAACAATAGCTTTGATTTGGAAAATGACTGGCCTGTTTCCTCCATTTTGATTGTACATTAAAGATTTTTAACTACCATTTTAAGATTTTTAAAATATTATTAAAAATGTATTTATGTAGCTGCTCATTAATTTTCTTTGTATGATTACAGTGGCAGCTAATCTGCAGAAAATTGTGGAAGAACCTCAATCAAATCGATCTGTCACTTTCAAACTGGTACTCACCCCTCTTACCCATCTGCAGACTAGCCCTTCTATCCCCGAATGCGAAGACTGTTAAAATATGCTGAGCTCTGTCCATTTACTCTTCCCAAGATCCCTGGCTAAACTCTCAACCTCACTTCCTCTCCCTCCCAGAAGCCTACAACCCAGACTTCTGACTTCTCTCAAGGAAAATTATAAAGCTGTTTGACCCTAGTTGTAGGAACAGCCCCCATCATTTCTGGAAGAAACAAAGTAGTCTTCTATTTATATCCCATCGACCTTTCACTTACTACCTTCCTTTCTGCAGTCCTTAATCAATTTTATTGCTACCTAAAAGTTTATTTAAAAATTGCCACACCTTCTCATTTTGTTTGACTCTTAGGCATCTGGTGTTGAAGGTTCGGATATTCCCGATGATGGCAAACTAATAGGATTTGCCCAGCTCAGCATCAGCTAAACCACAGTCCTGGAAGAGTCAGCCTAAGGAGGTGCCACACATGCCTGTCTGTTGCTTCTGTTGGCCTGAACCTACAACTGCCAAAGAACCCGGCAGCAGACTTCCCGGCTTGGAGCTTCAGAGTTCTTTGTTTGTGTTGTTCCTGCCATCTCCCCACCCCTTTTCCCGCAAGGAAAGAAAGGTTGGTTTACCAGTGGCCAGCATCCCTCAGAGAGTTCCGTTCGTAGATATGCTGCTCATGTCCCCTCTCTCCTCCATCTGAGAAGGAGCCAGCGTGCCTCAAGGCCCAGGATGGAAATCTCTTAGCTCATTCTTGCCTTACTACAGCGATGGCCCAAGTGGATAGTAGCAGCTGCATTGGGCATCCTCATCTTGCCGGTTCTCCCACACCTGCCGAGATCTGAGCATCTTGGGATATCTCTTTAACACTGAAGTAGCAATTAAAAATTGATTGTTCAGCTGGAGCCCAGAGAATTTAATTAGTGTTTTTTCTTTGTACCTGATGCTAATTCTAGCAACCTTTGTTAGGAAAAAGCACAGCCTCGGATGGAGGCAGCCTAAACTCTTGTCTGTTCTGTTCCTGGTGTCTCTACATGTTTTGCTGAAGCTGTTCTCAGGCACCCCCTTCATTGCTCCCTCCAGAAAGGGTTGCTAGCCTTAACTTCAGCTGGTGCAAAACATCTGACAGTAGTCAGACTTCAGCCATCTGCTCCTTCGGAGTGGAACCTTGGGTGGTTTTTGCAGAGAACGTCAAGTAATGGCTTATAACTCTGATCTTGCCAGAGGTAGTTTCTGAGCAAGAAAAGGAACTCGTAAGTCATATCATTGGGAAAGCATTTTCAATTTTAAACATTTAAACTGAAGAAAAATTGATCCTCGATCCTCCTGTGAAGATGGACTTGCCTGGCCTCTACGTCATGAGGAAATGGTGTGCACAGCTGCGACTCTGACAGCAATAAAGGAGACCGGCCTGGGCCCGAGGCTTGCCTTCTGCTCTTCTCCTGCACTGACTCCTTGGAGGGGTCTTCATTCACTGGACCTGACCCAAGATGGAACATGAAACCACATGTGCCGTGACCTTTAGGTTTTATGAGTAGACAGTGTTAATTTGATTTTCTACAGAAATTATGTAAATTATTCTTTAGGTTTAAAAAAGAGCACTCAATGCAATATGTGAATAATCAGTGGGGTTGGTTTTTCTTTTTTCCTACTCTTTAATAGCATTTGTCTGATTGCTAATAAGCCTACCAAGTTACCAAATTTTATATAAGAATGGAATAGTCAGTCTGGCCTTAAAGAGACATACAAAGATGGGCTGTGGGCCCCTAGAAAGGGACTAGTTAGTTGTCTTTTATAGAGTTCCTTGGACCTGCCATTGTTGTTCTGATGAACAAGAATTGGTACCTAATGTGTTCCCACCCTCACCCCGGCCCCTCATAGTTCTGAGGATCAAACCATAGTATTGCTCATGCAGGCAGCTCTGGAGTTTCCTCTTGGGACACACCCAAGAGCCTCCCCATCCTGATTGTGTCACCTCCTGTGTCATTCCGAGCCCGCAGTTTGAGTCATGGACTTTCTTCACCTCTTAGGAGTGCAAAGGCATGTTGGGAAAGGGATGCTGGAAAGGAAGAGAAGATGGGCTTGAGAAGGGAGTTCAGAGGCAAGTAGATTAGATACCAGAGTCCAAGGTCCCAGCAGGATTGGTCAAAGGAGGAACCTGCTGAGCCAGAAGGGAGAACAAAGATTGACCAGCTAGCTAGAAAAACATTCATCCTCCCTCCCTCCCTCCCTGTCTTTCTTAATCCTTAATAGAGAGGTAGGGCTATGACAAGCAGGGCGGGGAGGTGGGACTGAGGCACAGAAAACAGGCGTGTCATCTTGGCATAAGACTAGTGGCTTGTTGTAGAATCTGTTTTGCTTTCGACAGCCTGTCTTAATTCACTTAGGAGCTCAAGAAGGAATATGTAACATCACTCTGTTACAGTTTTTGACTTGAGGTGGTCCAGTGCCAGGCTGGAAATATGCAACAGCTCCTTTCCTGTTCACGTTCTCCAGACCATCTTCACCTTTGCCCTGATGTGGGGGACAGGCATGACAGTAAAAGTGGCCTGGGCTTTCTTTTTCAGTTCATCATTTGCTTTTCTGGGAATTAGAAGGTAGGCACCAAGACCCAGGACAGTGTTGCTTGTTCTGCATGATGTGTGGTGAATCCCTCTGCTGGCTTACACAGTGATGTGAGATACCAGTCAATGGAAACTGCCCAGGCAGGACAGCGTGGAACCCGGGCCCGTTTCTCTCCTTCCCGGGAGCAGTGCTTCAGGGTGGACCTCTGTCACTAGGTCCTCAAGATACTCTTGTCCCTGGAGGAGGGACTAACTATAGCACAAGATAATATGTGCCAATGCTATTTGTGAAATGTGTGGTCTTTCTAAACGATTAAAGGGATTGTTTTTGGTTTTTTGGTTTTTTATTTTCTTTTTTTGAACCAAATCTTAGAGCCAGCTGAGACTGTTAAATAATCTGGAGGATGGGATAATGATGTACCAGTAAATGTAAGTTCCTCCTTACGACATATGCTAGATGATGGGAGATGTAAAATATTACCTTCCCCCTCTTCTCTTGACTTTGTATTTTACTGCATGTTTTCTTCTTCATTTTTAATCAATAAAGAATAAATTGTCTATAGTGATGTATGGGTGCTTTTTTTTAATGGCTGTTGATAAAGCGCTCTGGGGAGTAGGACATGAAATCACTACTTTTAATTTTCATGTGACCAGCGTGAAGAAGTGATGTGTATAAATAGTAAAATGAGCTTACTGACATACAAATTTCTTAGTAGAACAGCTTCACACTGCTGTGCTCAAGTTGGGGAAACACATACCTCACTGGGAAGAATGAAGAGCACCCGAGGAACTGGACATGAGACGTTATGAACCATCTCCATATGTCTTGATTTTGTTCTGAATCTTTGATTCTGCTTATGGTTTTAGACAGGGAAGTGCTGTGGGATGTTCTGTATGGCAAATGTGTTGCTCTGATTGGTCAATAAAACACTGATTGACCAGTGGCTAGGCAGGAAGTATAGGCGGGACTAACAGAGGAGAAAAGAAAGAACAGGAAGGCAGAAGGAGACACTGCCAGCCACCGCCAGGACAAGCCGCATGTGAAGATGCCAGTAAGCCACGAGCCACATGGCAAGGTATAGATTTATGGAAATGGATTAATTTAAGCTATAAGAACAGTTAGCAAGAAGCCTGCCACGGCCATACAGTTTGTAAGCAATATAAGTCTCTGTGTTTACTTGGTTGGGTCTGAGCGGCTGTGGGACTGGCGGGTGAAAGAGATTTGTCCTGACTATGGGCCAGGCAGGAAAACTAGCTACAGGGAAGGATACTGGATTCTAGCCATTGTGATTCCTTTCAGAAAGTGTAGAGCAGTGCTGAACTGGTCCCTACGGTGCTTAGCTACTGAAATGGTGTGGCTTTGTGATCATAATCTACCTTTCTGATTAGAATCCTTCCTGATGGAAGTAGCCAGAATCTATGCCAGGACTGGTGTTGCTTTGAGAGTGCTGTGGAGCT